TATTTCCATTTGACAGACAAGAAAATATAACGGCAAAAAAAATATTGAGAATAATTTTATGCCACGTTAAGAAAAACAATTTTATTACCAAAAAACTACACATGACATATTTGCTTCCAGATCTTTCAGGTACTAAGAACAGGTATTAAAATTGATACATATGCAAATGTATGTGATGGTCGTGATGCAACAATTAGCTAAAATGTGCCAAAAGGCATATATGCAAAAATAAGAAACTCCTAAGTGTAACAGTGAATAATTCTCAAAATTTACTTGGTCTTTGAAAAGAATATCACAGGACTACAAATAATTTTATAAAAATTCCTATTAACCAGAAAGTGGTGACTATGAAACACACACCATAGGCCACAGGTAAACTTAAAAATCACAATTTTCATGTCTCAACAACAAAAATACAGGATACTAACGTCTCAGTTTTATCACTTTTTTTTTTCTTTATATGACAGGGTCTTGCTGTCACTGGGGCTAGAGTGCAGTGGTGTCATCATAGCTCACTGCAACCACTGGGCTCAAGCCATCCTCCTGCCTCATCTTCTAGAATGGCTGGAACTACAAATGTATACCACTACACAAAGCTGATTTTTTGATTTTTGTAGAGACAGGGTCTTGCTATGTTGCTCGGGCAAGTCTCAAACTCTGGCCTCAAGTGACCCACCCACCTCAGCCTCCCAAAGTGCTGGGATTACAGGCATGAGCCACTGTGCCCTGCCCTTTACCACTTATTTTCTACCTCCCACTGATCATGTGAAAATATAGCTCAGTTGATCAGAACTCTGGTCATCATCATTTGAAACAAACATTTATTTTTATATGACCTCAAGATACAACAATTTAGCATATAATTATACCAGGAGCAAAAGCCCAAACTCTCCAATTCTGACCATAATCAAATGAAGCTTTCTATAGTTGTAACAACCAGCCAAACTTGAATTTCTACAAAATGTTAAGAAAGATGTTTTATATGAATTACTAGGAAAAATGTCAAAGGATAAATTAAATACAGGTTCACCGATTAACTGAATATATTTCTTTTAACAGATATATTATACAAACAGCTTGAAATCCATTCTGTAGTGTTATTCTAACATAAAAGAGTACTTTTAATATTTATGGAAATCAAAAGGTGACAAAAATAAGATCCATCATTCCTGGTATGTCCATGACTAAATCAACTATGTTATTATATACCTACTATAAGAGAGTAATGCATTTTACACATTAGATTTTCTTTTTATTGAGGTGACATTTACATAAAATTAAAAATTATAAAGTGAACAATTCAGCGCCATTTGGTATATTCGCAATGTTACGGAAATACTACCTCCAACTAGTTCTAAAACACTTCCATTAGCCCCAAAGAAAACTTTGTTCCCATTCATCAGTTACTCCCCATTCCCACCTTCAACCAAACCCTAGCAAACAGCAATCTGCCTTGTATCTCCTAAGGATTTACCTACTCTAGGTACTTCATACACATGGAATCACAGAATACATTACCTTCTGTGTCTGGCTTCTTAATATAACGTTTCTGAGGCTTACCCTCATTGTAGCAAATAGCAGTATTTCATTCCTTTTTTGTGACTGAATGATATTCCATTACATGTATATAACACAATGTGTTTATCTATCCATTGAAGGACATTTGGATTTTTTCTACTGTTTGGCTATTGTAAATAGGGCTGCTATGAATATTCATTTACAAACATCTGCTTTAGTACCTGTTTTCAATTCTTTTAGGTGTTTACCTAGAAGTGGAATTGCTAGGTCATGGAGTAATTCTATGTTTAACTTTTTGAAAGAACCAACATACTGTTTTTCACAGCAGCTAAAACATTTTACATTCACACCAACAATATATGAAGTCCAATTTCTCCATATCCTTACCAATACTTGTTATTTCTCATTTTTTTTTTAAATTTATAACCATCCTAGTGGGTGTGAAGTGGCAGATTACAGTTCTGATATGCATTTTCCTAAAGATTAATGATG